GGCTGGGGAAAGAAAATGCTGTTCCCAGGTCTCCAAGATGGCTGGAAGGCAGAAGAGAGTTTTATCCCCTCAACATCTCAGCAGAGAGGGAGCAGAAATTAAAAGCTCCTCAATTTCCTAGTGTAGAAAGTGAGTGGTGTGTACATTTGTATGTGCATTGTACATGCACACGTATCATATGGAGCTCCAAGCTTCCCAACCAGTGCCAAATGTGCCTCCCCTGGACAGAAAAGATAGTGTACCCCTGCCTTAAAGATCAGCATATTCTTCCTGAAATTGGGAGGCTGAGTTATGCTATCTTCTGCACTAGCATTTGTATTTGGATGGAGGAAAGCTGAACTACAGAATTCCTTGCCATGAGGTTGTTTTGGTGTGAGAAAGAGTTTAATAAATTACCAAGAGGGATTAGTTACCAAGAGAAAACAGTCTACTAAGTGCCAACTGATGATGCCAAGCTCTGCTTTGATCTGCAACCATTTTATAACTTGTGGGCCTTGCTAACTTTTAGCATTCAAGGGAGTTGATCTCTATATAATCTTTAGTGTCTTCAGGTATGATCTTGGAGCTAGAATGTCCTAAATTCAGACAGCAAATATTCATCAGGCAGTCTGAAGCTTCCTTTTAAATCCATTATTACCCAGAGCCTTTTAGAATTATACATGCTGGTCTTGGCCACAAAAGCTCCCCCCAGCAGTTAACAAAATTCAAAATGACTTGAACAGACTAGAAAGCTGGGCCAAAGCTAACAAAATGAAATTCAACATGGAGAAATGTAAGGTACTGCATTTAGGGCGGAAAAACGAAAAGCACAGATATACGATGGGGGACACCTGGCTGAATGAGACTACGTGTGAAAGGGATCTAGGAATCCAGGTAGACCACAAGTTGAACATGAATCAACAGTGCAATGCAGCAGCTAAAAAGGCCAATGCAATTTTAGGCTGCATCAGTAGAAGTATAGTGTCTAGATCAAGAGAAGTAATAGTGCCACACTATTCTGCTTTGGTCAGGCCTCACCTGGAATCCTGTGTCCAGTTCTGGGCACCACAATTCAAAAAGGATGTGGAGAAACTGGAGCGTGTCCAAAGGAGGGCCACTAAAATGGTGAAAGGTGCATAAGTGCATAAAGTATTAAGCTGGTGCCTCAACACAGTAATATGATCTTAGAAGGAGTAAAGAAGGAATGGATGATAACAAATATTTATTTGTAGGTTGTATGCGGTGTTTCTCTCATTAAGCACATATTAAAAACTGACTTTTACCCAGCTATTTAGTTCCAAATTTACACATTGCAGAGGTTTCTCTTTTCATGATCCTGTAAGCAGGACACACATTTTCAAAGAACGATCTTGCAACTGAATAAAGAATACGTTCTAACATGTAAGGAGGCATTTTTGTTAAAACAGAGTTTGTATACCCAGAATGAATATTCCATTATTTGGCTATTGGGATTGAATAATGATCCTGGTATGGTATATCTGGTTTAAAAGTGTTTTGGAGTTACTTGGCAATCATGGCTTTCCTAAAAATCAGTTGTACTGGAGGATGTGTGTGAATATTTTCTTGTGTGTGAGTATTTTCTTATGTGCCATTAAAAACTCTTGATTTATGCTGACCTAATTGATACTGCTGGTGCCAAAAGATGCTGCTTATCTGCTTTGAAGATAGAATGAATGATGGAAATAGGTTACAGGATCTCTTGGGAAACCTTCCTGGCTGTGATTTCACCCTGGAGTGTGAAACCCAGCATTATGATTATTTTTAAGGACTGAAAAGAGCTTCTAGCCCTCATGACGAAAGAAAATCCACAGTGTTTCCAGCTTTATGTTAAAGACCTAGAGAAATAGTGTTCAGTTGGCATTCCAGAAAAACCCAGAATTTCCCCACCTCACAAAAAGTTGGCATTATCCAAATATCTTGTAGTGTATTCCATTGTACTTATGTCACTTGAGTCAATTACCTTTGTCTGCTGCTACTGAAGGGTTGAGATTATCTTTTATTCTTTTAAGACAAGGATGGAGAAAGTGTGACTGAACCCTCACTTTCAAAGCCCTTTTCAGTCCCTGAAAGACCACCAAGACTCCAGAGCTTTAAAATACATTGGGCATAATTTTCAGGCAATATTTGCCCCCAGATCACAGCACCACCCTTTATGTTTCCCACATGCCATAGTCCTCTTCTTTTGCCATTTCCCTGTCAAAATGGTGACCAGAAGTGACACAGCAGCCACAACTATGTTCATGTTTTGCTTCAGCCTCTATCTCCTCCTTGTGCTTCTGTGTCCCTTTAAAGAGAGGAGAATCCACCACATTGCTGTCCTTTTGCTTCGCTGGAAAGAGTATTGCAGATCAGCTAAATTTTAAGGGTTTGGATTGTGAATGAGCCTGGTGCTGCAGTAGGAAGGGAAATACCATGGAGGGGATGCACAATCAAATGGGTGTGTGAGCAAGTTAGGGGGAGTGAGGGTGCTGGTGCGAAAAAAGATGGGCCAGGGAGAAGTGGAGTAAACGTTTTATGTAACCTACAGGTGCTTTTGAGCTTTCTTTTAAAGCTCAGAGAGCATTTCCTTTATTATATTTGATTATCATAGAATTAATATTGTATATACTCATGTATAAATCTAGACATTTTAGCCAAAAAATTGACCCCAAAAAACTGAGTCAACTTATCCATGGGTCGATGTAAGTACTGTACTTTAACTCTTATTTTTTTTAAAAAGGGACCATTCAACAAGAGTGCAATCTGTTCTGGAAGCACTGACTCCCCTCTACTGTCTCACCCATCCGGCCTTAGTATAAGCACAGTTATGCCTGCTGAAATTATGTGTTCTTTGGCATCATTTTCCTTTGCTTCCTCCTTTACATCCTTTGTTACATGCCCCTAGGTTTTACCCTCCACTTATCCATGGGTCATATCAAAATCCATAATTGTGGCCCCAAAACCTGCCCTCAACTTATACACGAGGTCAATTTATAGTTGAGTATATACAGTAATCTCATCACTCTAGTTTAGTTTTTATACTAATTTCCTATAGCCCATTTGAGAGATAACTAAAATAATAGACAATAGATCTTAATTATTTATACCCCCATTACTTATATCCATACTATTTTTTTTTTCAAAACAGTTAAAGTAGCCAGTGTGGTGTCATGGTTTAAGTGTTGGACTATGACTCTGGAGATCAGGGTTCGACTTCGAGTTGGAAAACCACTGGATGGCCTCCGGTGAGTCACACACTCTCAACCACAGAAACCTCTAGGATAGGTTTGCCTTAGGCAGGGTAACCATAAGGTGGAAACAACTTGAAGGCACAAAACAACAAATGCTATAAAAAGAGGGAAAGAGAAAACCATTCAAAGAAAAGAGGAATAAAATAAAAATAAACTTCCAGAATAGAAGGGAATAGGTTTCTATTGTGACTTAGCCACTATCTGTATGGACAAAGTGTATCAATGATCTTTTTTCCCCTAGGAACTTTATAAATCTGTTCTCCTGCTGTTGTTGTCTCCTCTCATATATGTTAACTTAATCCTGACAGCCCCATGTCATATGTTACACAACCATCTTTGAACAAAGATGGCTTATAATTGGTGGAGGGAGCATATGCAGTTAGATTCTAGCCAAAGATGGTAGGTTCATTAAATCATTAACTCTTGAAACCAGAAGTGATCATCAGGGTGGTCTTTTAATTGGAGCAGTTGTAGATGAATTTTGAGGCTTTGGGCTGGATAGGGCAAATATCTGAAGCATGATCATATCAGCATTTCTTGTATTTATAGTTGTGTGAAATTACATGGGTTGAGTGAGTCATCATAATCCTTATAGAAAATAGACTAAACCTTTTACTTTCTTCAGCTAGAAATATACTTTACAGAAAAGAGGGGGGAGAGTGGAACCATAATTCACCACAACTCCATGTTTTCTTATGTTTTCTGCTTAGGTTTGAAATAAAGTGGCATCATAGAATGTACCAGTTGTTTTTAAGCTGCAGATATCATCCAGAGCCTATGAATTTCTGTGAATATTAGCTGTAATCTTGCTACCGTGTGTGGGAGTATTGCTAAGGGCAAGTTGCCCTTTGATTATTTCCAACACATAGGATGACTGCTAAAAACAATTCTTTTGGCTAGGATTGGTTTTGAATGACACCTAGGGCATAGCGACTTGATTTTTGTCATGTCATATAATTCTGTTTTGTATGTTTGTGCTGTCCTTCAGCTGGATCAGGCTCCCTGGCCAGATCTCAATGCCAAAACTAATGCCAAAGTAAAAACCTACATTTGCGACTTGAGTGATAGCAAAAACAACAATTTGCACATAATAATTTGCAGTTAGACTGGTAATTGTGTGACAACAGTGTAGGTGACATATTAGAAGGTCAGAGAAAATAGTTTTTCCTCATGGAAAATAGAGTTTTCCTCTGAAGGGATGCCACATATTGGGGTCAGATGAACCTCATGGTAAGATGGTTCTGCCTGGGACCCCATAATCAAAAAGTTTTCCCCAGGTCTTCCCCTGCTTGTCTTTAGAAAATTAAACCATTATTGCAAGGGTAGGCAACCTTTCCCCTTTAAGGGCCGAGGGACTTCAGCTCCCAGAAGCCTCATCCATGTTGGCCAGTAGTCCCATTTTGGCCAATAGCTCCTGGGATTCTGGGAGCTGAAGTCCCTCAGCCCTTAAAGGGGAAAGGTTGCCTACCCCTGCATTATTGCCTCGGTGTAACTTGGGCTTTCATGCCAGATACTTAAATCTGGCCTATGTTCTTGTTGCAGAAATACTTTTCCAAAGTGTTTTCAGAGATGAAGAAGAGAAAAAGAGTATTTTCTCTTTTGAAATGAACAAAATGTTTTTTAAGATGAGGTTTTACTGGCTCAGTGTATATATAGCATGGAGCCTTTATGTACAGCATTAGAAAACGATGATCTTTGTATGTAATGTAAGCCTATACAATAGATAAAGAAACAAATCAACAAAATTAATACCCAGAAACCATCTACAATGCCAGTGTGGCATAGTGGTTAGAGTGTTGCTCTAGGGCTCTGGAGACCAGGGTTCGATTCCCAGCTTGGTCATGAAACCACTGGGTGACCATGGGCAAGTCACACTCCCTCAGCCTCAGAGGATGGTAATGGCAAACCTCCTTTGAACAAATCTTTCTAAAAAAATCCCATGATAGCATTGCCTCAGGGTCGCCATAAGTTGGAAATGATTTGAAGACACACAACCATCACCAACAACCATCTACTACAAGAGAGACCAAATATTCAAATGACTGAACACCCCTAATTCCTCCAGAGTCATACAGTCAGCCCGTCCATATGAGAGATTTTTTTGTGCATGGATTCAACCATCCATAGTCTGAAAATATTTTTTAAAATATAAATTCCAAATAACAAACCTTGATTTTGCCATTTTATATAATGGGCACCCTTTTACTACACCATTGTATTTATTGGGACTTGAGCATCCATGGATTTCGATATCCATGGGAAGTTCTGGAATCAAACCCCAGCAGATACTAAGGGCCACTATACATGCCATCCTATGCCAGCAGTGCCTCTCTGAATTCTACATTGAATGATCAGGATGGTTTCTATGCAAGAGGATAAATTTACACAACACCACATACATGTTTTTATCTCTTCTTCATGGCTCTTCGATTCTCAGATAGTGGTGGGATTGCCTCCATACTAATGTATTGCCAACCCTTTTGTTTCTTAATTCTCACATTAAATAACTTCTGTTTTACTCCCAAGGTTGCTGCAAAATTTCCTAACCAAATTCTTTCTCAGATGATGATGTGTAGCTGTAAGCAGGTTTGTGCAACAGATTCCCCTCATAAATGAGCTGGTGTCTTATGTGTTACCCTGTACTTTGGACTTTAAACTTGGTGGTGCTATCAGGAGCTTGGTAGAATTGCCTTGGGATCGGTATGGCCTATTATTGGTGATTCAGCTTTTGGTCTTCCCTTTCATCTTGGCAGTGCAATGAAAAAATCTTCTGAAAGTAAACTACATCTTGGTTCTTGCATAACATGGAGGGAGATGGCAGTTCACTTAGCAGAGAAATAAATGCCTTGTAACCAAGTAGTTGCATTGATGAAGAAATCATTTTGAATACAGTTGTATTCTTTCATTTCCCAGGCATTCGCATTCTGGATGAACCATTGCTTTTCCCCCTTTGCCAAGTTAAGAGTCAACTTGTATATACAGTGTTCTCTTGGTATCTACTGGGGTTTGGTTCTAGGATACCGACATCTATGGATGCTCAAGTCCCATTAAATACAACCGTATGGTAAAATAGCATCCCATATATAATATGGCAAAATCAAAATCAAAGTATATATATATAATATTTTTAAGCCGCGGATGCTTGAATCTGTGGATAAAGAGGGCTAACTGTAATATGGTGCTTGGTGTTTGTAATTTCTTGAAATTTGCTGAATTCATCAATACTATAAAAGTAACCTTTCAGCACAGAGGAATGTAGGTCTAAATACTCTGAAAGCATCAAATCCTGTCTGATCTTGGAAGCTAAACAAGCTCAAGCCTGGTTAGCCCTTGGGTAGGAGACTTCCAACAAATATCAGGTGCTGTAGACTATTTCAGAGGAAGGAACTGGCAAAACCACTTTGAATTTTCCTTGCCTAAGAAAACTCTATGAAGCCCATTCATAGTCAGGAGACTTGAAGACACATACACACTGTTATGTAAGGAATGAAAAGGAATGGTACTGAGTTTGAGCTGGGCATTTTGAAAGCTGTAAAATTGTGGCCTAAATTCACTATTTCCCAAATAGTGTTTGAGTTTGGGAAATGTATTATAATCATCTGTTAAATAATTGGCAGTCTAGTCAGGCCACAGGTTCCCCACCCCAGTCTAGCAGTCGTGTTTCTTACACATTTATCTCTGCTAATTCTGAAGTTTGCTATATATATTTTCATATATTTCAGTTTTGAAAATGATGTTCCTGGTCTTTTGATTAAAATCTTTACTCTTTTAAACATCTTCCCCTTAGTGCTCTCTGTTGGTGAACTTTTTTATATGCTGCCTTTGTTCTGGCATCAGACCCAAAGTAGCATACAAAAAAAGCTTAAAAGCCTGATAATACAAGTGTTAAAGTACAGTTAAAGAACTTACCGTGTTAAAACATATGATATTTTTAAAAGTGTAAAATAACTGGTTAGCCAGCGTGGTGTAGTGATTTGAGTGTTGGACTATAACTCTTTTGGAGCAGGGTTCAAATCCCTGCTGGACCATAGAAACCCACTGGGTGACCTTGGGCAAGTCACATTGTCTCAGCCTCAGAGCAAGGCATAGGCTGACCCCCTTCTGAACAAATCTTGCCAATAAAACCCTGTGATAGAGTCGTCTTAGTGTCACCAAACGTCGGAAATGACCTGAAGGCACACAACATTAGCAAGAGAATAATCTAAAAACATAACCATACACATGTACACACACAGTGTAAAAAGATTCCCTGCCATTCAGTTCATCATCAAATGCTGTGGTCTTTGCCTGTCAGTGAAAGGAGAGCAGGGGGATGGCCAGTCTAGCCTCCCATGGAAGGAGATGGCACAGCTTGGGAGCAACCACCGAGAAGGCTCTCTCCTGGTTCTTCAGCAGATGGTCCTGAGATATTGTTGGGATTGAGAGAAGGCCCTTTTCTGAGAGTCTTATGGCTGTGGGAGGTTCATATAAGAGACAGTGGTCTTTCAGATTCTGGACTTAAGTTATTTACAGCTTTATAGGTCATATCTAGCATTTCGCTCCTCGAAATTAACCAGTAGCCCCTGTAACTGTTTCAGCAAGGGAGTTGTATGTTCTCTGTAACTAGCCCCAGTCAGCATTTTGACCACAACACTTTGGACCCAGTAAAGTTTCTAACAGTTTCCGAAGGCAGACCCATGTAGAGTGTGTTACAGTAGGAGAAACCGGATGTAATCAAAGCATGTGTATCATAGCAAGATCTGACTTCTGCAGGAATGAGTGCAGCTGGTTCACTAGTCTTAACTGTGCAAACGCACTCCTAGCCATTACTGAAACCTGGGCATTAGTACACAGGATTGAGTCTTAAGAGTATGTACAAGCTGTGACCCTGCAATTTTGCAGGGAGCATCACCCCATCCAACACAGGCTGAACCCTTATTTTCTGATCTGCTTTGGGTACTAGGGAGAAATGTTTGGTTACGAGGGAGAAATTCAGTGCTTGATCTGTCAAAAGTGGATTGATACTACAGAACATGGGAAAGAACATTACCTGCAAATCTTGCTGAACTGAAAGTCCCAGTAGTTCTTCAACAGTGGTTATGCTGGCCAGGGCTGTTAAGATTTGCAGATGAGCAACATCTGGAGGCCCACAGGATTTGCACCCCTTCTGTAGAAGGTAGTATTCTGTGCTTGCAAGTTGTCAATGACTGTTCTCATGAATGGTGCCCCTTCTTTCCACCTTTTCTTCCATAGCTGAAGGGGAAAAAATGAGCAATTATTTAAATGTAGGGCAGAGAACAGCCTCTTTAACCATTCAGGCAGCAAGGTAGAAAGTCCTGCTTGGATTGTCCTGATAAATCCCAGAAGGGACTGCAGCTCAAGGCTGCTATTTATCATCTTTTAGCCTGATCACTGCTCCAAAATTGGTACCATTCTAAGAAACCGTTACTACTTCTCCACATCCACTACGATTTCTTGAAACTGCTCTCTTTTTCTCCTTGCTGGTCTAGCAACTCTGTTCTTAAGCAACTCCTCTTTCTCCCTGCAAAGCTATTTTGGATCTGATATGCCGGTGAAGCAACAGCCTGCCAGATCAGTAGGGCTCTCTTTAATAAATTGTAAAAATAAATACATCTCTCATGATGGTCTGTGGTAAACAAGCTTCTGTAGCTGTTTCCATGACTTGTGCACACAGCCACCCACCACCACTTCCCAAATTAAAGGTAGCAGGGCCCCACCTTGCTTAGAGAAACCAAATCTGTGGATCCAGATGATTTACTTTGGAGTAGCAAATGTGGAAGAGGTGGTTTTCACCTAGGCTGCATCTGCACTACAGAAATAATGCAGTCTGACACCACTTTAACTGCCATGGCTCAGTGCTGTGGGATTGTGGGGATTGTAGTTTTGTGAGACATTTAAACTTTTCTGTCAGACACCTCTGGTGCCTCACCAAATGACAAATCCCAGGATTCCATAGCAATGAGCCATGGCAGTTAAAGTGGTGTCAAACTGAATTACTTCTGCAGTGCAGGTGCAGTCTTAGTGAAAAACAGGAAAGCATTCTGAATGTACTTAAAGCAAGAAGGGGCAAGTGCATGGGTGACATCAGCATATTGTTAATAATGTAGACCTTACAACACTTTCCATTTTCTTTTTGGATATTTTGAGGGTGATGGTGGGGGCTGAAGCAAGGCAGATTACTCCATTAAAGTATTTTAGCTGAAGGGAATACTCCATAAAAGTATTTTAAAGGGTTTTTTGTTGTTGTTGTTATGGGGCAAAAAAGTTTTAAAATTTTTAATTATTATTTTGTGGGTATGGGGACTTTGGGTGCCTGTGTATGTCGCACAAAAATTAGATTGTAGTGGTGCAAGTGTGCCAGTGGACCACTTATGGCCCACATATGTTCCATATGTTCTTGCTTTTTCCCCACTTTGGTAAGAGTTAGTGAGGCATTTGTTGGGCCAGGCTGCCTTGCGAACCAGCACATGTGTGATCCTCATGATCATCAGTATATCCAGTAAATTTAGTTTGGAGGAGGATGTCTTTTGTTTACTCTCTAATCTGCAGGATAGGTATGCTCTGTCCTCACCAGCCTTTTCGAGTGGAGGAATAGGGCCTAGAAGCGGTGACAGCAGGAATTAGATAATACTTGTGGAAATATGTTGCTGCGCTGGATTTTTAAGGTGTAGTGGGAAACAGTCACTGTAGGTTTTGTTTTTAAGAAAAAGGGCCAATCTTGATTGCCAAGAGAGTTTATTTTTCTATCATCTCCAGCTGTGTTCTATCATCTCACCTTGACACATGGCACATTCTCTGTTTTGTGTCAAAAAGGGAGGGTCTGAGCTTTGTAATCTGCTTTT